TTTGAAATCAAATTGGATATAATTGTAATAAAAATTTGATGATAAGATATTCTCACAATGTTAGGGATTGCGTGAGGTATTTGGTAGAATTGAGGGGATGGTTGAACTTAAAGATGAGGTAGAGAAAGTCGAAGGTGTGTGGCATGTGTAGGTGATGGGAGATGAAACAGGGCACCTAACAACAAAGTTCAATGAAAATACCTATTTATATGAACTTGCTATAAATTATCAGGAACCATAAGAATTGGTAGATGGAGGGGACTTTAACTTATTTAGGAATTTAACAAGAGCAGTTATTTCATTACTTATTGATTCTCAATTACTCTCTATTTAAGAGTATTTAATACACTTTTTTATTTTTATACAACACTAAATTTTCATATCACGTCAAAAATACCACTATTTTAACTTATAAAATGTTAAATACACTTTTTATTCATAAATAAGGTAGCCTATAGGTAAAAATTATGGTTTAGGGGTTACAACTCCTATAGAATGGTGTTTCTGAAGGTAATGCTTGGTGATTGTAAGGAAAGTATTAATAGAGTGTATAATATGAAACCTTTTTTTTTTCCTCCTAGAAGAAACAATATTTATTAAAGAGGAGCACAAATTACAGTGGTTAATAAGAGATCTCTATAGATCATCAGTGGTGTAGAAGTTATGTTGCAAGTTATGGCTTCATAAAATATAATTAAGTCTAAAAGGGCAAAAATATACCAATATATAAGTTGATAATTTTGATTTTAAACACAAGTAAAATAATCCTGAGATTAAATTTTGAAGACATCTTCTTTTGATACCTACTAGAGCTTACAAAGAATTTGGATTAGTTGACGAATGATGTTTTGAGACATTTTAAGCATCATTAGATGAAAAAGCAGAATGAGTTGTTCCCCTAATAACATGTCAAACTTATGATCATGTATAAGTCTATATATACCCATGAAAAATGATCTCATTGAGACACTGGTTTGAGATTAGAGTTTTATAAAGGATAATTTATTGAGAAATTAACATGATGGGTGGATATCCATCATACTTTCATATGGTAAGGATAATAATTTTTTTATTGAAAAAGGTTTATTAAAATTACAATACCAATAAGTGTCATATTTTTGCCCCATAACATAAAGCTAGTTGCAATCTCACATTCATGAACTAAGTAAACATGGAGAGTCTAGCACGGAGGTATTTAAAAAAAAATATTTAAGACCTACATATGGAGTAGCAATTTATCAGTTGTTTATAAAGTAGAATTTAGAGTATTTTAATGTATTTTTATGTACCAACTACGTAATTATACTTATAACATAACATGGTGTGAAGTCTTTATAATGCCATAAGATTTGTTTTGAAAAAAAATTAATTTTTTCAAGCTTATATACTAAAATGATAACTTTTGCGATCATTCCTACTTTGAATTAGCAAAAATATATTCTTATTTTGAAGTACTAGTCAAATAAATGTATATTACTACGAAGTATCTAAAATACATCTTATTATTTTACAAATTATATATTTTAAACTAACAAATCCTAGTGTTTGCCTCTATGCATACAAAAATACCATCATTTCTTAGAGTATGATGATATGGTGGATAAAGCAAATACTTCTTTGTTGTTCTTCTATGATACATGATAACTTGATATCCAACTCAGACATTAATTCAAATAATTTTGTGTCAAGAGCTCACAACTATATTGGCTAGGTGAGAATTAAGTTTGTTCACCTGGGCCAACTACTATGATGTGTTGATAGGACAACTAGGTGCCTTCAAACATGCTCATATCCAAGTCTAAAATGTGTTCACATCAGTACTAGAGTAACACAACATATATTTTTATAATTGATGGACCTTCATCTTCATAAGGTGTCAAATAAGGATCTAAATAAGTTGGAGTTTCCCTTGCACCACCTATTGTGGAGCTTTCTATAATATATAGAGATTGAAAGATATTGTTCAAATATATATCACTTATTGTATCTTAAAAAGACTCTTTCCTAGCTATGTTGCTTTAAGATTTAAGTATTTTCATTCCATAAATTTTAAAAGAAAACCATTAAGAGATAACCAAGTCAGCACAACAAGGAGCAACAGGAAAATAAATGTGAAGCGTTTTGTTGATATAATAAGTTAATATAATTTTTCAAAGATAAATTTATTAGTTTGTATTTGATATATGTCCTAACTAAGATAATACATACATAGTGCTTTATAAGATGTTAAGAAAGGGCATTATTTAGATTTCTATATGTGCTTGTGATCTTTGCCAATGATATGAAATCAGCTCAATAAGTAAACTACTTTGCTATCCCATCTTTATAAGTACCAAATTTAGTAATCAAATTATCCTTGCCAACTAAAATTATTTGATGCCTCTAAGCATTTTTCATTGCACAAGCCACCAAAAAATAAAAGGAACTCGAATAGGTCAACCATAGAATTGTTATTCAAGCTAAAATATCATGTGAATTAGAATCTCAAATCACTTGAGAAGAAATCAAATATAGACAAACCCATGTAATTACTTTAACCAGACGTAGTTCCATATAAAAGTATTGAGTTATTGCTTTACTTGACTATTGAAGGTCATCTAGTTAATCTACCTACATTTGTATCTTGGTCAGAGGTCTTTCTTTACTTTATCTTCACTCCTCTTATAGTTCATTAGTCTATATCAGGTCGTAAACAAAAAAACAACATAGCCTAAATAAAATACCTTATTATGTAGACTTTACCCATATCCTAGTGACCTATTTCTTAGCTCATTGGGATAAGGTACCAATAATGCAGACAAAATAACATAAATATGCATCCAAAATCAAATTCAAAGAAAATGTCGACATTCTATTATTTTGATTTTTATCGACATTATTATTTTTTTGAGCTTACTATAAAAGCGCACAAAAAAAAAACATTAGAAAATGCGTACTATGTGAAAATCTCAAAGTTATTAATAGAGAAGGATATTATAGATGCATCAAATAATCAGAAGTTTTTAGTAAGAGAAATGACCATATATTAAAAATATGTATGCCTGTGCATGTCGTAAGTTTTACAAATTAATAAATTCAAAAATGATGGGCAAAGTCCATTTAGGTCATTGTAATAAAAAGCATTCTTTGGCTTGAGATTTTTCGATAAAAAAAATGTCGTTGCAGTGTTGCGTTATTTTAATTATGATATGTTATCTCATGCTTAGGATGACACCCTAAGAGTTCATCACAATGGTCATGCGATGATTCCAATTACATGCGTGATTTAACCATATTATGCACTAATTAAGTAGTTTCATTATATTTTGTGTAGTAAGATGGCAATATCTTTTAATAAAATGATCATCACTTCACATTGCTTAACTAATATTGCAAGAAAATTATGATCTTGCTTGATGAATTATAAATTTTTAATGCACATGATTTGTTCTTGCATAATAGCTACAATAAATTGCATTACATTTGGCATCCCCTTGTTATAAGCATGTAACTAGCTATTTTTGTTGTAGCTCTCTATAATAATAATAATAAAACAATATGAAAAAATTCTTATAAATCCTATGAGTAAATCTTAATTCATTATAAAAACTAATGAAAACTCATATCTAGATGTGCTACTCTATGTGATAATATAAACATGTTATGCTTGGCACCTTTGAAAGTGCATGCTTCATAAGCTTATTCAACATAATATCATGTCGTGTATCACTAAGTAGAGTTCTACTTCTTTGAATTATGAAAATAATTAAGGTTATTATTAACATTGACAACTATGCAAGAAATCTTGTTACCTACTAAAAATTTGTAGTGCTAGAGTAATAAATTAACGTTATAATATTGCACAAAAATCCAGCGCACACACAAATAAGAGAAAAGTTATGGGAGGCGACATCGAGATTTTTTACATGGATTGAAATGGAGAAAACCATGAGTCGTGGCCATTAAAAATAATCCATTATATAATTAGGAGTACA